AAAAAATGGATATCGTAAAAATACAGATAACATTATTCTGAATGAAATATTCCTGACGGAATATTACTTTGTTAGTACTGAGAGAGTTTCAATCTACGGATATGGCGATATGTTGTTGACAGAACGTTATCGCGTTATCAGTATATTACTCAATCTAGCGAAATGCTTATTAAAATTTCAACGGCTACCGAGTTTTAACGTTAGAAAAAGTAAAAATTGCAATGTCGGCAAGCTTATACGATAAGAAGTTCCATTCTAACCTCTTTATTGGCGTTTCCTAACCTCAAAAAGTATGCGCGACCGCCATGCCGATAAACTTACACGATAGACGTCCAATGTAACCTTTTTATTGGCATTTTCTAACCTCAAAAAGAATGCGCGACCGCCATGCCTGTAAGCCCACGCGGTATAAGTCGAATTCTAACCTCATTATTGCCGTTTTCTAACTTCAAAGAAGATTGCGCGACCGCCATGTCGATAAATTCACATGGTAGAAGTCCAATTCTAACCTCTTTATTGGCATTTTCTAACCTCAAAAAGGATGCGCGACCACCATGCCTGTAAACTCACACGGTATAAGTCCAATTCTAACCTCTTTATTGGCGTTTTCTAACCTCAAAAAGGATGCGCGACCGCCATGCCGGTAAATTCACACGGTAGAAGTCCAATTCTAACCTCTTTATTGGCATTTTCTAACCTCAAAAAGGATGCGCGACCACCATGCCTGTAAACTCACACGGTAGAAGTCCCATTCTAACCTCTTTATTGGTGTTTTCTAACCTCAAAAAGGATGCGCGACCGCCATGCCGGTAAATTCACACGACAGAAGTCCAATGTAACCTTTTTATTGGCATTTTCTAACCTCAAAAAGAATGCGCGTCCGCCATGCCTGTAAACTCACACGGTATAAGTCCCATTCTAACCTCTTTGGATGAACCTGCCACTTTCCGCTTCTCATGGCCAGGAAAAGCGTACTTGCACTCGTTTCGTAGGTACCCGCCGGCATAGCTATCCGCGTACTTAGTCATGCTCATACGTGACGATAGCGATGCGTGAGTGCGCGAGTGCGTGCGTTCTCGGTACGCCGACCGAGAATAGAGATAAGCACGCGCGGCGCGCGCACGTAACAGTATAAATAACTTGCGCAAGCGTTAATGAATGCTTATCTTGGCGGCCCGTTAAAAAAAAAAAAAAAAAGGAAAAAGGAAAAGAAGAGGAGAGAAAGAGAGGAGGAGAATCGCGATAAACGTGCGCGAGCGAGGACGAGGGAGAGGACGGAAGGGAACAAATAGATAGCTCGTGGAATCCGCGTGACCGGCAGTCGCTGACTTTTTATTCCTCTCCCTGGGAATCAGAGAAAGAGGGAAAAAGATCGCAAAAATAATTAGCCGAGCCAGAAACCGAGGACGCGCGTGACGTAGCGCTCCCGCTTGCCAGAAAAACGCGCGGAAAGTTCCTGCGCCGCCCCGCGGCGCTCGGCAGAACTACGCTCCTGAGTTCTGGCCGTTGAACTGATTCCGAAGCAGTGAGAGCGTCTATCTTTTTTATTATTTTTTTTTCTCTCCAAGAGAGGCTCTGATGTGACAATTTTGTCGGTAAATGTTGGGTTTATTCCAGATTTTTTTATTTAGAACGAAAGGTTTTGATATTATAATTTTATTAGGCCCAATCCGAAGAAATGATTTCTTCGCCACGAAGGAGAGACTTTGATCATACAATTTTATTTGCGAACTTTGCGGTGGGGTAGATTTTTTTTCTTTTTCTTTCAAGAAAGATTGGTTTAAATTTTATTATTTTAGTGACGAGTACTGGGCTAGATCTAATTATTTATTCGGGAACATTGAGAAGTTTTGATCTTTAAATTTTATTCGCGAATCTAAGGTAGACCGTTTTTCTTTTTCTTTTTTTTTTCCAGGAGAGGTTTTAATTTTATAATCTTATTTATTAACGTTGAATTAGAGCAGACCTTTTTTTCTTAGGAAACGAGGGGTTTCGATCTCGTTATTCCGTATGTAAATGATATTAGTCCTTTCTAATGAAACATGTAATTACTTTCCTTGAGCAGAATTTGTATTATCAAAAGTAGTGGCGATGCGTTCGGTCGAACAAAATGTCTGTACGTGATAACAAAATGAATGAATACATCCGACGAAGGCATAAACCTATCTGGCAAGTTGCAGGACGTAGTCGAGTGGATATTTTTTTTAATTCGCCCGCGAGAAAATAAGGGGGAAACCTCAGAGGGAAAGTTTGAGCGCCGCCCCGCGGGAGAAAAGTTAACTTGCCCCCTGTTTTTCTCGGGGTTGGCATTCGAAAGTTTCGAGGCCGCGGGGATGTTCTTCGGGGAACTTTTCTATACCTCCTGCCCTTACCACCGCCTACAACTTCTACCAATTGCGATACTTTACCTACCCGGGAGTTCATCCGAGTTTTATAAGAGTGATTTAACGCTGAAATACCGACCGTAACGCCCGTTATTCCGGTACCATCGACGCGGAATGTTAATTTATTTAGGAACGTTAATGGCTTACCTACACAAAACTTTTAACTGAAATATTATAACATTAAATTTAATTAAACCTTGTGGATGTTTATTCGCTAAAATGGGGGTTGGTAATAATTGTGATATTTGGAATGAGTACACAGAAATTATATTATACTGGAAATATTGTGCCTTGATTTGAGCGAGGTAAAATATTTGTTAAACACTGTATGTTTGTTTATTGGCGATAAATCCATGATATTGCGACATAATACTTTCCGTTGAAACGGTGCATTATATTTAGTTCAATTTTATGGATTTTGAATTGTTACAAACGGGGGTTTTTAGGGAAATTGTAATCAATACAGGGCTATTTAATTATACTTGGATAGAAATTTGATTTAAGGGAAATACAAGATTTTTTTAAGTACTGGAGGTGTGTAATTGTCATATCGTTGTGGGCAATGTTGAGTGGTAATGATTAAATCGGATTATGAATTTACTTATCAGGTTATTAAGTTAATAATTTATGATCGGGTTTCAACACTAATTGCAGATCAATTTAGTGCGATCCTTGATCCATAATGTGTCAACCTTAGTCAACCTGGTTCGGTAATTCACTCGTTTTAGTTAATATGCAGATTACGTGTTATCGTGTTTGCAGGTTTTCATGGCCGCGTACTCGTGTTGTGACGCGCGGGATATTTGCTTTTGTAAATTACAGTTTACGGCAATCGGGCATTATTTATTGCCCGTGCATCTCTGAGAGCCGGCTATTCTTGGGAGAGTGACTAATGTTCCCATGATAAGATAATAGGTATATCACGTGCTAACAACTCGATTTCTTTCCGTTCTCTCGGCATAACGCGACCTTTGTAATTCAATTCCCTCGCTCTCCATTATTCAATACCAATTTCGTGGGAACATTTTGTTCATTCGGAATCGTTAATGAAGATCACAAGTCTTGCTAATTAGTCCCTAAATCATGTCAAAATGGGAAATTGCATTTATTTGCGTGGTGGTTTTTAAGCCCTCTGCAAGATGTATTTTTTTAACGTAATTCGCCGTATCGAAGGACATTCTTTTTTTCGGATATTGATATGGTATCTTACATTCATCGCTCTCCATTATTCAATACCAATTTCGTGGGAACATTTTGTTCATTCGGAATCGTTAATGAAGGTCACAAGTCTTGCTAATTAGTCCCTAAATCATGTAAAAATAGGAAATTGCATTTATTTGCGTGGTGGTTTTTAAGCCCTCTGCAAGATGTATTTTTTTAACGTTATTCGCCGTATTGAAGGACATTCTTTTTTTCGGATATTGATATGGTATCTTACATTCATCGCTCTTCATTTTTGAAGGCCAATTTCGTGGGAACATTTTGATCATTCGAATTCATTCTCATTATCATTTCTTCGTCCCCATTTTAATATCTTTATATTCTCATTTTCATTTCTTCATATGTGCTCATAATTATGAAAGTGGTCTAAGTCAAAATTAAAAAAAAAAATGAGTTTATCAGTTATTTCACGCCATATTATTTCAAACTAAATTAATTCAATGTAATTTCGAAACAAAAATATATGACAGACCACTTTCATAATTATGGGCACATATATTCATCCCCATTTTAATATCTTCATAATCTCATTTTCCATTCTTCATATTTTCATCTTCATTATCAGCAGCACACGTCCTTTAGTGGAATAATCTCCGGATCGGGTGTAAAACGGTTGGAGGGGTAACGGCGACAAGCCCGTCCTTGGCCGTATCCCCGCGTTCCGCTCGCGCCTTCTATTCGCCCGAGCATTTCAGCTATTCGCTACGCAAACGAGCGACGCCAACGCCGCTTGGCGTCCGGTCAATGTACCTGTCGTAAGCCGTCGCCGTTTAACGGAAGGGGTCACGCCCACGATTTGACCTGACTTTTTCTCATTGGCGTAGATGTGGAACGACGCTTCCGCGTTTGCAAATCGGTCCATTGAACAGAATGCATTTGTAAGAACATTTATTTACTGTATATAACAGAACGACTCGACCTGAATTTTCGTCATTGGCGTGGATAAGGAACCTTCCCCATTCCCTATAAAAATTCCATTGAACAGAATTTCTCTATAAAAACGTTTTACATTCATTTTTAACGAAACGATCCGATGTGTCTCTCCGTCACTGACTCTTACGCATATCCAATGGAAATTGTTTTAATATTTTCAGGGAAAATCCATCGAATAATCTGGATTAATATCATCGGATAACGGACAATTTTTTTTTTATTACCATTACTCGTGATCTCAGCGATTGCCCTGCTAAAGAATATCTCAACGTGGGTTTTTATCTCTTTTCTTTGTTCGCCCTCTTTTCGATAACGGTACGTAGGAACAGGTGGGATTTTTTAACGCCGTACTGTTTACACGGCGAAGGTCGTTGATTTTTACACCGAGGATTTTTCCTTTGACGGTGGCCGGTGTTTCCCTTTCTTCCTGTCTCCTTAATCGGTGCTTCTTTGATGTTGCAGGGAGCGCCGCGAGGCGGAAGTGCGGGAACTGGAGAAGCGGGAACGGGAGGCCAAGATGGAGCGGGAAAGACTGGAAAAACAGAGGGCGGCGGAACAGGCGGTTCACAAGCACTTCGAGGAGTCCCTCAGGCTAGCCCAGCAGAAGGTGAGTCTGGTTTACTGCGCACTTCCGGTTACCGGGAACGCGCCCCCCTTTATCCGAGTTTCTCTTTTTTTCTTCCTCCGCCCGGGGTGACCCGAAGAAAGAAAGAAATTCTTTCCCCGCGTCACGATTAAGATCCCATTAGTAAATCTGAAAACACGTTAACCTTACCGCGCACGGCAATGCGACATAGGCATTTCCGGTATCCGAGTCCTAACCTCAAATGTAACGAACGGCCGAGTATTATAGGAGGAAAAGCAAGAACTTTATTCAAAACAGTCTTCCAACTGTCCAAAGCCTCTATACGACAAATAACATACAACATTCGGGGGATACAAAGTACAAAGCGTCGTATATTACAATACTGACTTAGAAGAAACCTTTGAAAATACACGTGTACATAAATACAATTCTTCTCGGATAATTAGGACGTGGTTAATAACTGTAGAATCAGTTAGGCTATTATCAAGTTGATTTATTACTCCTTAATAACTATAAATTATAAAGAATACAGTATAAAACCCGTGTCAACAGATCCTGCTCTAGGTAAACCTCTTCTTTTTTTCTTCCTTCCTACTCTGGTACTGCCTAAGCTGGTAAGAGTCAGTGGGAGATTAATACAACAAAAGGAAACAGCTCGAGTGCGAAGGACGTTCTAACCTAAACATTTGAAAGTATCTTAACGCTCAAATTGAACGCCCCTTCTGGAGGCAGCTCTCGATTACTCGGCCGGTAAAAACGTACTTTTCGATAATCCGAATCAGCCCGGGTGATGGTGCACCTGCCGGCGGAAAGCACCTGTCGGCCTCGCATGGAAAATACCTGGCGGAGAAACGTTACAGGAGCGGTCAATAAATACGGCCCAGAAATTGGAAAGTACGTTTTCTCGCGTCCTACGTCCACCTCCGGGGGCAGTCGGGGGCCGTCTGGGGAGAGCGTCCGTAACGGCGCGCTAGCAGAGTGGGGGAAATCCTGGAAACGACAGAAAGAGAGAGAGGGGAGGGGGGAGGGGGCGGAGGAAACGGGAAAGTGACGTGTAATTGGAGCGCGATCTGGAAGGCCACGGCTATGTATCCCCCCTCCCCTCCCCTTTCGAGACCGCTGATTGGTGGAACACGACCCGCGTCATTCGCGGAATGCCGGCTGAGTTTTCTCTGACGTCACGATTGCCGCGTCAGTCGCGATCCTCGCGCCGCCGGGGAAGGGCGGGCGAAAGTGGAAACAGCGCGATCCTTGGGGGGGGGGGGGGGGAGGAAACGATGCTGGGGAATCATGGTTGAGCCGATTTAAGGTGATATGAAAGTGTCATATATATATATACACATACATACCAAATAGTCATAATATTGATATAACTTTTCTACTAACTGGATGCACCGAATCATTTGAAATTTCATCACGGGATTATGGAGACCGTAAGGAAGAACGCGATGCTCGTGAAGTCTCATTTTTCGAAAAAAAATTTCTATTTATCTCGGACAAGAACGTAAAATAGACTTTTTTTCGAAAAATGAAATTTCATGAGCATCCCGCTCTTTCTTAGCGCCTTCATAATCCACGTGTTAAAGTTTCAGGTGATTCGATGCACCCAGTTTGGAGAAAAGTTTTATATTTTTACATTTATATATATATAGAATGACGCTTTTATATCATCTTAAGATTGAGATTACCGATAACGCGAGCTCATATACCGCGTAACGTATTAACCGCGTTATACGACAGTCTACTTTATAGGGTTATTTTTAATGGAAGTGGAAGAGTTCCTTGTGCTACCTCATGGTTTTAACCTTTCCTCGTATATATAGGATGTATCGTGACATGTGGGCAACACTCCAGGGAGCATCAAGGAAAAAATAGAGCTTATGTAACTCACGAGTGTGTGCGACGAAGGGCTGGGTCAAGTTAGATGAGGTTAGGTTAGGTTAGTCAGACTGGTTTTCGACTCCTTGGATCTAGGGAGTATATCGTGACATGTGGGCGCCACTTCTGGGCGGGATAAAAATAAATAAGAAAGTTGAACGTGCCTTATCGATGAGTAACGGGCTAGGTAGGTTAGGTTAGTAACGGATGATTAACACGGAGAATCCTCTATGCGAGACTAGCTAATACCGTCGACTAACGGTATTTATAAATCCTGAGTTCGATTTCAATCAAATCACCATTTGATTGGAATTCAGCTCGTACAAATGATCTTCCGACATGTCACAATATCGTAACTACACTGAAAAAAAAAAAAAGTCATCGAACCAAAGAAGTCTGTTGTTAGTTTAAACAATATAATTCAAATAAACTCCAATAAACAGGGTGCAACGTTCCTTAGGAATCATGACACTTTATTTGCGATTATTTTAGTCGGATTTTAGTTCGCCCATTTGCCGCAGGGTGGCGCGGTGGCGCCAGTTTCGCCTCCGATGACAGGGGAAATCTGCTCCCATTTTTCGGGATTTTTCTTACCCCTTGAATCGCGACGATGGTCAGTGCTGTATAAAACGAACATCGCCCATCTTCGGTCACCCTTCGTTCCGTTCAATCCATTACGGGTCCCACAATAACTCCCTCTACACCCCGTTAGAGCCATGACGCAACGGCCTCCCCATTTTTCTCTCTCCGCATCCGCATGACCGTCGTCCTTCAATTAGCGGAGCGGCAATGTCTCGTCGGGAGCAACAAAGAGAACCATACAAGGGTGCGAGAGGGAGCGAGAACTTATGCGAAGGGCAAGAACCCTATGGCCCGGTTGGCAGGGGAGGGGGTCAAGGGGAGGAGGTAATCAATGCATTCCAGCACCTGCCCTTTGTGTCTCGGACCGCTCTCGGTTCACCTCTCGAGGCGCGCCTGGCCTGGTCTGCCACTCTCCCCTTCCCCCCGCGCGCCCCTTCCGTCTCCCCCTCCCCGCCCGCCCGCGACCACAAAAACCTGTTCGGGCCGCCCCCTCTCCGCGCGGCTGCGTCAGTATGGGCCTGGGAGGCATCGGGGACGCACATGCCTCTTCGGCCGCTCCCCTTCCCCCCCCGGCGCCCGGACCCCTGGGGTACCCGGGAAGTGGGTATACGCGGCCGCGACACGCATAACGGCCCTTTCTTGGCCTTTACCTGCCCTCCCTTGTCCCGGTGTCCTTCGGTCCCCTTCAGTCCTCGCCGAACTTCCCGCGGGCGCGGGTCAGTCGATCGATCGCTCCTCCCTTATGACGCGGATTTTTGGCCGCCGGGAGATATTGACCTTGGTGGAATTTCCCGAAGAGGACCTCTACTACTTTGCAAGTACGTGACTAGGTTTCTTCTGTTTTTTTTTTATGAGGGGAAAGGGAGGTTTGCTGGATCTACTTGGAGAGGGAATTGGACCCGATTGGTCGGACTGGTCTGGGTTTTAGGTGTTCGCTGTTCTTTGAAATTGGGCGATATGTTTTCCTCCTTGTTTGGGATGAAAACAAAATTTTGTTCGAGAAATGAAATCTCGCGAGAAACCTCCGTGATCATTTGTTATAGTTTCAAAGTATTCTGTGCGCCCAGTTTGGAGAAAAGTTCAATAAATATTTAGATATATATACACATACACTTTCGTATTGCTTTAATTTTTTATGCTAAAGTGTGCGCGCTTGGGTCGGACTGGTGTCGCGTGGGCGGAATCGAGATTTATCGTATATCGCTTCGATGATTCTTATCGAAGAGTGGGCGAGTGATAACGCGCTAAATGTGACGATGTTTCTCTTGACCATTCCGTGCGTTTCTTTGTCCCGGTGTCGTTTGATCCTCTTCGGTGCTAGTCGAACTTCCTCCACGTGCGCAGCTTTCACTCGGGCACAGTTGCATTCCATGGCGTCTCATGGTTGACCTTGGGCCTCGGACATCTGCGCTTCTGCCCTGCAAATATGTGACGCCATTTTTCATGTAGTTGGAAATTAGAGATTGAAATTCGACAGACCCGGGCGAGAAAAATCGGCATCTAATTGTGAGAAGTACATCTCATTGTGTGTCCTGCAAATACGTGACGCCATTTTTCATGTAGTTGGAAATTAGAGATTGAAATTCGACAGACCTGGGCGAGAAAAATCGGCATCTCATTGTGTATCTTGCAAATACTTGACGGCATTTTTCATGTAGTTACAAATTAGAGATTGAAATTTGACAGACCTGGAAGAAGAAGAATTTTTTCTGGGTGTACTCAAGTCAATGATAATTGATATTCCCACGGATGGAGGCGTTTTAAGTCGATCGGTAGGGTCGAACCTCCGAAAGCCCGATTTATTGGCCGGGATTTTGTGTTATTTCTAGGAGTTTCGGATTTTCGTTCCTCCTTGTCCCTCCATCATTCTATGACCAGGTATGGTCAGGTATGGTCAGGTATGGTCACAGGCTCCTGGGGATCGCCTGACAGACAGGAAACAGGTATATGACGGAGGCACATATACCGACCCTTTCCTGGCCTTTACCTGCCCTTTACCTGTTCCCATTTTCTAAAGTCCCTCAGTCACGGTCTAACCTCCATTGAGCTGCTTTGGCGCCTCCTCTAATTGGAATATCTCCGCAGTTCCCAGGGATTTATTTTATATTTATTATTTTATATTTAATTCCACGTGATCTTGAATCGTAACGTTCAACGGACTAATCTACGCTTTAGTTCCGTAGGTGAATAATTTCTTTACAATTTTTTCCCGGGGTGTAGGTGGCGTTTAATTTACGGATTAGAGACTTTACGACCTTAGGGAGGTTCGTAGAATCCGGAAGTGATGTGATCTTTTTTTTTTTTTATAATTGAAAGCATTTTTCCTGTGGTAGGAAAATGGACACGAGTGTTGGATCGTTTCTCACTTTCTTGGTGTTGATTGGCTTAAAGGGGATAGTGCGATATCTTTGTTTCGCTTTAAAAGTGGACTTACGGTGCTCGGGAGGAAAAGTAAATTCTGTTTAAACCTGTACACTGTCTTAAATGTATGTTCTTTACATCACTCAGACGTTGCATCTTGAATAATTCCGGTTTTTAATTATTATTATTATTTTTTGTTTAATTTCAAGATACTACACGTACACTGATAAAAATGCCCAGGTAAATGTACATACCAAGTCGCGAGTTATTTCGATGCCACATTTTATTCAAGCAACAGTGTCTTAGTACGGTAAACAATACGTGTATTTATGTGATATTTCAGTTATGAGGTGTGTAAAAAAAAAATAAATATATATATATATGTAAATGTCCATCGATTTTTATCAGTATACCGACAAAAGGGTCACTTCTTGGTGGATGTTTACATCGGCATTGCAAAATCAAGGGTAAAGTACATACGCATAATTTGTAATTATGCTGAGGATTTATTTCAATTACGGATTAAAGTGCGGAGGTCCAATTCGCGGATGGCTTAACAATGATCTCTTGCGCAGGTCAGGAGCAGGAAATTTCTTGCCGGGATTATCAGCGAGCTGTG